TTTCTTAAAAATAGTTGTGATATAAGAGCCTTTCCAGTCACTTGGTATATCAGCCCCGTCTATGCACATCTGAAACAATTTTGTTAGATGGCGATATAAATTCTCCGTCCCGTATTTTATTAGTTCTCCTGGTATTTCTCCTGGAACAGCGGACTTTCGGTTTTTTAGGTTTTTACATATTTCTTTAACTTCTTTCGTCGTTATTCTTAACGGAGATGCTATTATTGTTACTTGTGATATTTCATTATTTGTTTTAAATTCTGTTCGGTTTTCTGTAAGTAATGTTTTGAAATGTGTTTCCCATTTGTCCATTGTTATTGTTGATATTATGTCCTTCTTTTGGTTTTGCCTTAATTGATTTATTAATCGCCAGCTCTCCGTACTTTTTGTGCCACCTAGATATGTATTTATTTTGGAGCAGTTTCTTTCCCAGGATTTATTTTTCTTCTCAGTTATCTTTCTTCGAACGCGAGCTTGAGCTTTCTTATATTCCGTTTTGTCGCCGTCATTTTTTTTGTTTAGGTATTTCTGATATTTCTCTCTTTTCTCTTTTATGTCGTTTTCTATATCTGGGTCCCACCAATACGGTTTTTTAGTTTTTGTAGTCTCATATGTTCCTAATGCTTCATATGCAGCCGAGTGGATGCACGTTTTGATATATTCATGATATTCTTCAGGAATTTGGAATCTCGTTTCTGTTAACTTCTGATCTAGACGTTTCCTATATAGTTCCCTTGTACCTTCATGGTCGAGCCCATCTAAATTATATCTTTTTGTAGTTGTTTGTATTTTCGGCTTTTCTACTTCGTGTTTGTCTCTTTTTGTGTTATGTACAATTGTGCTTCTGAGTAAGTGATGGTCGCTACCACATGTGACTCCCCTAAGGACCCTGACATCTTGTACGGTCAATTTCGTTTCTTGTCTCATAATTGTGTGATCAATAATTGATTTTAGGTTTCTTGTAGATTGTGTCCACGTGTATTTATGAATGTCCCGATGTTGGTAGAATCCATTCATTATTTTAAGATCATTTTGTTCACATAAAGTTATCAATCGATTTCCGTTATCATTTTTTGTCTCTTCTCCATATGGTCCTACTACTTGGCTGTCTCTATTTTTGCCCACTCTGCAGTTCAAGTCTCCAAGTATAATAATTTCTCTCGTTTTCCCTACTTTTGTTATTTCCTGGTTTAGGTCCTCGAAGAATTGGTCTTTTGTATTCACTAGAGAGTCGTCATTTACTCCATACACACCAAAAATAGTTACTCTGTACCCATATATAGTTAAATTCATCTTCATCATTCGTTCACTGATAACTTCCCAAGAGTGTATGTACCTCCTCAGCTTTCTTTTTATCAGTATGGATATTCCTTGTTGTGCTCTCCGGTCTTTCGTAACTCCACTATAGAAGTGATCGTAATATCCCATGCTTTCCGATCCTTGTCCCTTTCTCTTCGTCTCTGTAATTACCGCAATATCTAATTTAAGAGTTTTTATTTCTGAGATTACTTCATTCATTTTCCGGGTTAGTCCTTGAACATTCCATGTCCCATAGTTCATTGTCCTTTTTCGTTGCTTAAGTCTTTTTTGGTTTTTCCGTCCGATTCCGAGGCTTTGGTTAGGTTTTTTAGCATTTTACAGGTTTTTAAGGGTGATAGGGAGCTGGCCTATCGCCCCAACCCTCCTCCTTTATCCGGGCTTGGGACCGGCAGTGGTCTCTTTAGAGTTACTCAATCCACCCCTTAGAGACCCCAGGCGGAGTTCAGATCTCATCTCATACTAATTAGTCATATTAATACTGATACCTGCTAAGTGAACCCAGAAAGCGGGGAAAATTAGGTCGTAGTTTGTTTTGGTTAGTAATGACTAAAGTCGTATGAAGACTCAAACTGTTTTGCATCTCATTGTACAAATATTGAAAGGTCATATAAATTTTTCTACTCCATTCTGACAGTTCATAAATAAATGTATTCGTGTTTTTTTTTGCACACTTGCAACATAATATACTATCATCAAATTTAAATCCGATTTGAAGCAAATGAGATCGGTGTATAATTAGGTATTTTACAGATGGGAGTAGAAAAAATTATTTTCACCACTTAAAGCTCCTCGTCGGCATCAACTAGTCAAGTGGACTATAAATATCAAATATAGAATTATTTTCTAGTCGTGTATTAGGATCACAATGTTACGGCTAATTTAGTTACTCCGCTAGTCTTCAAACTTACCAGCTAATTTGTGAACTAACTAAATACGCTGTTACAAAATAAAAGAAATTTGAAGCTCCCTTAGTTCGAATGAATTGACCATTTAAATATTTTTGGTTTAGTAAAGTAAACGTTAAGTAATCCATTGTGTTCGTGATTTGAGAATTGTAACTATAGATAATTTCGAGAACGGCAAAAACTCTTATAGATGCCATTTTTGTATCAAACATTGGTCTGGTAAGTGACTGTGGTCTAATTTCTGCCGATGGTGTTTTTGATCACAGATTAATATATTATAAACCAATGAGTATAAGATAGAGGGGAAGGTCACGTATACTGTTACGAATGCCATCATGGCTGTTTAAAGTAATGCGTCGCACTGAAAATACTACAGTAGCTTGTAACGGATAACAGCACTTTATTTATATTTTAATAAAAAAAATTAAACTATTTCGACATTTTTTTTTACATTTTACCTTTCAACCTTTAAATTGAATTGAACCGTGCGCGTCCCTCGCGTTTTTCGCTTTCCTGACTGGACACAATCACTAGAAAATTCGTGTACGCTTTTTAACATTGCTACTAACCCTCCCCCTTGCCTGCCCCTTTATTTTATACCCTTTGTTATAAACCAAACTGTTCTTAAAATTATTAGATGTCGTACCCATAAAATTTTTAATTTTTAACAACATTAGCTATAAAATTAGCATATTTAATAACCTCATGTTAGATTTCTTTAATCAATATGCTCTAGGTAAGGGAGCTCGCATAACTAAACCGCGAGAACAAAGAATCCTAATGATTTGAAGAATTATACATTTTTTAGAATCTTTACACTGTCCATATTAAGAAGATAAAAAACATACCGTGATATGGTTTCTGAGGGAAATTAATTAATAAACTTGGTCGGCAATAAAGAGTTTTAATATTGCAAATGGCAAAAGAAAATCAGACTATACTCAACACACTTCAATTACAATAAAAAAATCACTTTTTTGACAACAATCTTTATAATTTGCAATTTTCTTTTAAGCTTTGAACAATAACAAAAGCAAATAAGGCGCTTAATAATATTAAAATAAATGCAACTGGTCTGGATGACGCATCACACTTAAGTGCTATAGTCCATATATTGATTGATACATAAGCTACTTTCTGAATGAAAACATTATCCAAAGTTTCTAATCCAATGACGTATGATAATATCCGTTTGATAAGCATTCTTCCGGAAATTTAAAAAAATTATGAAAAAATATTATATAACCAAATGTATGATTTATTTATTCCTAACAATGTTCCACTTACGCAATGTGGACAGAAGTAGAGTTGCTTAATGTATAGGATGATATTTTTCAAGCGTATGATACCGTTCTTGTGCTGTTAGATTTCACGAAGGCTTTCGATTCAACATTCTTCTAATATCAAAGCTAAAATATTATCGATTTTATCATGAATAATAAGTAATAAATTTTCGGATGCCACAAGGGTCCAGTTTGGGACCTCTGTTCATTCTTATGTATACTAAAATCATCAACGATACACAAATTTATCATTGTTTTAATGGTGATGAACTTTTGGAGGCAAAACAAAACATAAATCACGATTTACGAACTTTGAATGAACTCTCCAAAAGCTATAATCTTAAGTTAAACCCTACAAAATCTTAATTATTACTACGATAAAAAATTCTTCAAAAATTTTAATTGATGGGACTACGTTATTAACGCTAAGAAATTGGGTATTTGTTTAGGTTAATATTTAAAGCACATTTAAAAAGCATATTTCAAAGGACATATACGGCATTAAAAATATAATGCAGCAATAAATTTTGAGATTCAAAATTATGGAAAAACTTATGTTAACCCTTGTGTTATGAAATCTTAATTATTGTAATTTTGTATATGGTTGTTGTTTAGATATTGAAAGTAGGTGTAGAATTTAAAAAAAAATCAAAATCAATGTGTGGGCTTTGTGTATGGCTTAAGAACAGGCTTAAGAACATATGATCATGTTTCTAATTTTTACAAAGAGATCGGGTGACTTAGGATGGAATGTCGTAGAAGACTACATTTCTGTACTTTTTTATTAAAGACTATAAACGATCCCGATACTCTGTCTGCGATTCGGGAACGAATAGTGTTTAGGCGCGAAATTCATAACAGGAATATTAGGGCTAGGGAAATTTTTAACAATGCCTCATCATCGCAGTGCCACGTTTGATAATAACCTGGTAAATTTAAATTCTATTACGTTTAAAATTAAATATAAGAAATAATTATAGCATCTACAGAATTTGCTGTAGATATTTTTTCTGTTTTTTTTTTTTGTTTTCTTTGTTTTTTTTTCAACTTTTCTTATGAATTTATTATTAAAAGCTGTTGAAGATGATAGTTTTTATAGACCTGGGCTTTTAAAACAACTTTTTCAATCAATCAAATGCAAAAGACTGTGTTAATAATTAGTTGTATTTAAATGTTTTTAAATATTTTGTTCTTAAAAATTTTAAACAATCTTAAACAAAACAAAATCCAATGATCAACAACAAATTTGTTTTTATACTCTATATGGGAAAGAAAAAACTAATTGAGTAAGCATCTTAATCGTCTTAGATTAATATGAACTGACATAAACTTTTTAAGCTAACCAGTTAATATCTAAAGCAACAGCTTATTATTTTAAGTAAATAAAATCTTCATTTTAACTGAAGCAACTTGATAGTTTGGAAACTAACTAGCCAGTTAGCGTGTCGTTTGTAGTTGATCGAAATGTTCACCTATCGTTTTGATTTTGCAGAAATTGAACTGAGCTTTCCGTACAGGGATGTCCAAATAAAAAGGAACGTAGATCCAAAAGACGAATACACTTTAGAAGATGAAGTTGGTAGGTAAGTATCCGCAGCAAATAATTATTTCAGCGAAATTAACTTAATCAACTAACTATTAAGATTTTAATTGAAAAATCTTATGTGTGTCTTTTTTCTTTGATTTTGCCTGTTGAGGATTCGTGTACACGGTGTCTTAGGGTTGATGGAACATTAGATGTTTTGGGAAAACGAAATATTATTCTCTGTCCATCTAAATTGCCTTGTATTGTTGCTTTCTTCTCTCCGCTATTTACTTTTTGATCACTTATGTAAAATGTTTCCCTATACCTATCTCTCCTGGATATGAATTATTTTCAATATTTTTCTACCGAAACAAGCCGAACTTTACATCCTGTGTGAAGGGATAGTTGAATATTTGGGAAACTGAAGTTCTGACTGCAATCTGCAGTATCCAGACCCTCATAGAATAATAATAAGCAAAAAACCGATTCCTGAACTAGATAGAGCAAAATCGACTAGTTAAAACCGCAAACAAAAATTAACTACTTAAATGAAAAACAGGAAATTCAGGAATTCAATATAATTGATAATTTGATAAAGACACGGTGTTGTCGAAACAATTGTCATGTCATAATATATAATTTCGTGGAAATCTGAACTTTTAGTTCTTATTTATTTTGAATTGGAGAAGTATTTGAAAATTCAAGAAAATCCTTACAAATACTAGCCGACGCAACAAATGCTGGAAAAACTCAAGTTTTAACTACTTCAAAACACATAAATTCAAGGTACGTTGTAGCAGAAAAGTCCACCAATTACATGAAGCGGATGCGGGTAGAAGAATACAATTTTGCAACTGGTTTATCGGAAAATACGATGAAAACATTAATTTTCGATTGCCTGTTGTTTGGAGCGATGAAGCAAGAATTTGGTGTTCCGGACTATTTAACAGATATAATTCTTATCGCTGGAGCACAGAACATCATCATGCTGTACTATATCAAGATCGGCAAGTTCGCTTTGGATTCAATGCATCGCTAGGAATTTGTCATTAATTCTTGGAAGGAGTATTTATTGCCGGAAAGATGGTTGCCCCGCTCACAATGCACGAATTGTTAGTGAACTTTTAAATGAAGATGAAATAATCACAATTTTATAAATTCAATCTACAATTAAAATGAAAATATTAAAGTTTTCTTATGTTTCGTGTTTTTCACTTGTTATTTTAAATTCGCATTAACTTTTTAAAGTTCCAGTGTTTATTAAATTATATTAAATGTTTCTATGTGATGTATTTTTGAACATACTACTAATGCATAAGCAAAAAATGTCATATATTTCCCTCTTTTACATCACAGATATATTCTGTATCAATCTTCATGTGTGTCTCATGGGTAAAGCCATTAAAAAATTATATTCTTCCTTGACTAACAGGGCAGGGGTGAGGCAGGTATATTTCTTTCTTTCTGATATATTTCTTGAGTGTTGACCATTTTGGCAGTGCTGAATAATTGTTTTTACTATGCGTTTCGAAAAGGTTATTGTATGAGAATGTCGCGTCGAAATCATTTGTCGCTTGATGCAAAACAGGTTGTGATAAATGTGTATGAAATTTTAATCAGTAGGGGACTTATTAAACAAGAATCTTTAAAAGAAACGTATCTACTTACAAAAACGCCAATATCGTCCATAATGGATGTTGTCAATAGTGGAGAATTGATAATAAACGTAGTGATTTTCAAACTGACCGTATAGACAATAGTGCTCAGGACCTAATAAGAAGGAAAATATATTGTCTTTATCAAAGCGAAGTTGTTTCTATCTTGGATAAACTGAAAAAGAAAAGGTTTCATCCTTTTCTTTTTCAGGATGGATGGGTTGATTTCACTTAAAACTGTCAGATGAAAGCACCTTCAAATAAAGGAATCACCATAATACACGCTGGGTCAGAAGACGGATTTGTCCCAACATTTGTTGTTGTCTGCTAAGAATACTAAGGGTTCTAGGTTGGATTATCATAAGGATACAAGTGCCAAACTTTTTGAAAATTGATTTCAAACAATCTTTTAAAAAATATTCCCAATAACAGCATTATTGTCATGGATAACGCAAGTTAGTCCAGCAGTCTGCTGTGCAAAGCACCTGCCTCATCAAGTTCTAAATTCATATGCAATTAAAAAACAGTATGTCTTCTTCATAGCATTGCATGTTTAACCCCATAGAGCATTTGTTGAATTAAGTAAAATTAAAGGTCAGACCAGAAAATGTTATTCCTACTTTCAGTCCCAGTGTTATAAATTTGTTAAAAAATTTAATTAATAACATACCAATTGAAAGCTGGAAAAATTTAGTACAGCACATTATAAAAATTGAGGACATAAATCCTATTATAGTTAATCTCAATGACGACTCTGATAGTGAATTAGATTTAGACATTGAGAATAAAAATATAATTATATTCCTAGCTATAATTTTTTTTGTATATATTTAATGTAATTCTTTTTTATTTTAATATTATGCCCACCTAAATAAACAAAAAAAAATAGATTATTAACAAAACCTTTAAGATTCCGTCCCTCATGTTATGTCCGTTAATACCTACCGGACCCGAGTTTTATAGCCGTCGGCAGGTAACTTCCATAATGGCGGGCAAAAGCCAGCACGATGAAGATTGAGACAGGATATACCAACAAATCTATATGCCTGAAAAGGGCTCGATGCGCTGGTAATTATGATTGCCATATAAAATAAGGAAGTAGTAGTCATTTATGAGAAAACGGAGAACTGTAGAAAAAATACGAGTACGCCACTGCATTTGCCTTAAAAAATGCCCTAATAAATATTTCTCAAAAATCCAGCCCTTGCTAGATTGTGCTCTATCTAGTTCAGAAATAGGTTTTTTCTACTCCCGTCTGTAAAATACCGAATTACCCAAGAGTCAAATGCCGTTTACCGCACTTGTTGCATAATATACTATTTTCTGTTATAACCACTTTATACACTGAAAAAAAATTGGCGAAAAGTCATTATTTTCAAATGGAAAATAAATTTCAATATTACTTTTCGATACAAGCGGCAATACTGCGACACTGAAAATATTTTTGATCGATACAGCAAAGTCAAAAACCTATGTTATAAAATTTTTTTCACACTGCTACTGCCCATGAGACAATCTGTAGATGACAACAGACTATCGATTTTTGATTCGGTTAATTCGGGTTGGAATTTTTTTGTATTCGATCATCACGTCATTGAGTTAAGTTCTTTTCTTTTTGCGTTTTCCGCCGTTATACTTCTTAATTTATCTAGCTTTTAGTTTAGAGTGCCACTTTGTTTTAAAGAGTTTTAATTGTTGCTTGAACAGTTTAGTTAGTTTGTTTTTAGTTTTGGTTAGAAGAAAAATAAAACTTACTCATGTTGGCCAACGGTTTGGTTAGTTTATACTATATTATACATATTTTCCTTTACAAGGAACCATGATCTTTATAATCACTTGTATTAATTTTAAGAAAAAACTTGATATCAAGTTCTTAACTTTTTAGATACAGGAATGCAACATATTGTTATGCTTTTTTGAATCGCTAGCTCTGTTACATCTGAAAGCTTTGACTATGAGTTCGTATTTGATTTTGTAGATAGCTCTTTTTGTAGTGCGATAATTAAGCACAGTGTCTTTTTCTTTTTTTCTATCTTGTTATCTTATCTACTATACTATCTTATTATTAATGGTTATTTTCTAGGGATAAATACAAGATGTCTAAGTTAGGTTTAAGGCACTGAATATTATCATTATTATAATATGAAGTTTCTTTCTTAAAATGGGATTGGGAATTATTTCCCTCATCATTGATACAGCAATAATTTGCGGTTTTTCCATTTCAAAATATAAATTAGGTCAATTACTTGCGTGCACTCCCATTTTCCCGTCAATTATTGCGCGGGTTAGTTGCTCCAAATTGATAAAATACTACAAACCGGCTCTCAAATTACTACAAAGCGAGCGCCATTCGTCTGACACCTTCAGAAGTCGCTGCCAAAAACTATAGCAATAAAATTTGACGCCAGGCGATGAGGAAAATATTCGCTTATTCGCGGACGTCTTCAAACAAAACATCGCCCAACAAAAATAGAGCCGGTGGTAGTAAAAGTTTATCACTCGTTGCTTTAAATGTATGTACAGGATGTCACGTAACTCAAAGAGGTACGCTAGGGCATTGCTGATCCAAACTTCCTTCAAAAAGCTAAGACCAATTTAAAATAACAAATGAAAGCCCCAAATCTAAGAACTACTTAATAATTCAGTTATTAATTTAATATTTTAGATTATTTTAGATACACCCTACATATTACAAACAAAACACTATAGTTACTAGAATACAAAATAATGAAATCTAAATGAAACAATAAATTATTCTCTGTTTTTTTTTAAATATGCTTAATTAAGTTAAATTTTAAGCACTAATTAGATTTGGCTATTTAATATCAAACTCTCACTATCACTAACTATCAAAGTTATTGTGTGTTGGCTATTTAATGTAAATGGTCAATGTTTCTATATAAAAAGTAACGCAGATATGATAATATAGTTGACCTTTTCATACATTTTAAATTGCTAAATTAATTTAAAACTTAAGTTTGGTCACTAAAATTAAGTGCAAAAGAATACAAAATGCTCAGATGAGTAAAAGTGATGACATTGATACACGGCGTACTTAAAAATAAACGAAAACAACCATATTTCATTAAAAAGGACTCAACACCGACATAGTTTAAATTGTAAAAAAATCTGAGTACGCCACTGTATTATTTTATCCGTATCAGAAATTTTCATAAAAAATGTTATTTTGATTTGAGCGTTAAGTTTAATTCAGGTTAGGATAAAGAAATTGAGATGGGGTTTTCACTTGGTCGCTGGGGCCTTATTTGGCTATTGAATGATGTAAAAAAGCTATATGGTAGCAGCTGGTGGCAAGGAAAGCGATCACAATCGCGTCTCTCATAGGACGATTGATTAGGAAAACTCCGAGCAAAACTCATTTTTAACGACGTTAACTGATTTTGGAGTTTTCGTGGTTATTTCCGAAAGTGTTGGAACACCCTCCGCTACTTTCATTGCTGAGATGGAGCAAATATCTTTAAACAAAAAAGATTTGAATTTTTCTCAGCTTTAAATTAGTTTGTTGGTAGGCTGATTACAGACTTCCTATGCATTTATTTGTATCACGTAAGGTTTTATTGCAAGTAATAAAGGAAAATGTATATATTACTAAAATAATTTTTTTTATTTAGTTCGTTACTATTGTGCAATAAACGCATTTTAAACTACTAAACTAGAAGGTGCAAATCTCTGATTAAATCATCTAATTCGCTCTGGTTAAACATTTCGGGCTCTCTAAAATTTGGTGTAAATTCTGAGTCATCTGGGTCAGAATTAGATTCCTCTGTTTATTACAATAGGACGTTTTCTATTTTTTTTTTTTTGGGTAGGTATCGGAACATCTGATCCATGAGGAATTGGTCGAATAGCAGAGTCAAGATTGGTATACATAATTCGTTTCTTATTTTTTCTGTCGAATCCTTGAACATTACACGAACGAAAATAACAATAATCACTGTGATTCCTAGGCTCTCGCCATACCATAGGAACACCAAAGCTCAAACATTTATTCCCATCTTTTTTCCAATTTCTTAATGCTACAACGCAGGCGGAACAAACAGTATGAGGAGCCCAGGACTTGCCTTGGGCGCCAATTTTTACTTCAAAATAAGCGTGATATACATTTTTCACAAGTTATAGTTTGCCTTTGCTTTAATAGTACATAACTACCAGATATAACGAAAGTTTTGGATGTTCTTTCCATAATTCTTTCCATAATTATACCTTCTAGAACACTATAAATACGCAACAACAAAGACAACGCCGCGAAAACAGTAGCACGAAGACCAATAAAACCAAACTGCGCATACCCGGGCTACAGCGTTGTATTGACGCTTCAGCGCAAACTCTGTTGCTTTGCAGAGAAATCTAATATTCTCCAGTGTTGCCAAATCACATTTAATTTCATAAAAATCAATTCATTTAAAAATCATGCCTAACATGGAATAAATATATATTCATGTCATGTATTACTAAAATAACACTTTCAAGATATAGAGCGCTAAAAGAAAAGGACGAGATAGAGCAAAAATATTATGTTTTTTGGAAAAAGGGCTCCCAAAAATATACAAATAAGCAAACAGCTTTCAAACACTGTAGACCTGTGCATTCAAAATATCAAGTCATAAAATCGAAAATGATTTCCAGCATTTTCTCAGGGCCAATTTACTTATTTTTTTCCGTTTTTCTAATTCCTAGTACCTAGTTTAGAATTGCGTTTTTTCTGTTAAAACACTCTCATTACCTCGTACAATCCATTTTTCCATAACTCTTAATAGTTGGCGAGATCTCTTATAGAATCATCTAAATTTTCCTACTTATAATAAATAAAAATAAATAATTATAAATTTGCAATTAAAGTAGACTTCCATAAAAATGATTATTTTTAAATTTAACTACGTCATCGAAAATATTTTTAAATAGCGGCGGACATTTTGTTCTCAGGTGCATCATGAATGTCCGAGAGTATTTATTGCTAACATCTTATTTGTGTACTGGTTTCAGGGGAAAATTTGGCACCGTGTACAGGTGTAAAGAAAAATCGAGTGGAATGTGCTTGGCGGCCAAGTTCATAGCGTGCCCGAAGAAGGAGGACAGACGAAACGTCGAGAGGGAAATCGAGATCATGAGGGCCCTGCAGCACCCCAGGCTCATACAGATTTACGATGCATTTGAAAATGGCAAAGTTATGTGCGTCATCCTAGAACTGTAAGTATACACAGTGAGTGGTTTTTAGGAGTTTTTGAAAGTATTTGTTGTGGTTTTTATGGAACATTTAATTCATGCACACCCCAACAAGACTTCCAAGTGTTGAAAAGCTAGTAGGGGAGGGTGGGGCAAAGAGGCCCACCTCAAAAATTAACCAATTTTTTTTTCGTTTTTTTCTTCTAATAATTATAAATTCTGGTTAATTGTACACTTTTAGCCCTTTGCGTAATACCAGAGGTAAAATGGACCCCTTAAAAAGTCTAAAAAACCGCTATTCCATATTATTATAACCGAATCATAATTAATTTATTGAAAGTGTTATTTTTTGCATAATTCTATGGATATAGCCTAAAGCCAGAGCTTTCGAAAATCTTACAAAATACCAATAATAAATTTTTTAATCGATATAAAAATAGATACTAATCAGTAACTTTATTTTCTATTAAATATTTTTTAATAAATAATTATAATTATTATATATAACATTATAAACAGAGGAAAGTGGCAGCTAGGTAAAGTAATGCCTGTATGTGTCTAATTGTCTAGACTTCTGTCGTCACAGGGTTTTAAATATTGGTATAAATAACAATAAAAAATTATAAATAATAAAATAATAATAATAAAAGGTTTGGAAACATTGAAACCCTATCCAAAAAAAAGACAAAAATGTACCATACCAATAATGTAACAACAAAAACAAATTAAGGCACTCCAATTATTAATATCGAGAATTACAAAATCACTTGAAAAGTGTTATTAGTTCACTGATGAGAGTTTAAGAGAGGAAAAATGTATTATTAAAAATTTATTATTAAATATGTATATACAGTGTGTCGCACTTTTGAAACGTTCTTTTGCTAAGTGATTCGACTTAAAGTCATGGCCAACTGAAACTATACTGAAACTATTTAACAAAAGAATAATAAATTGGAAACGAATTCCTTTTCGGGAGCATCAATATGTAAAACATTATAAAAATTGGTATAGTTGGGTTCTAAGTACTCCTAAATAAGAATTCGTTGCCAATTATTTTTTTTAAAGCCCCTAATAGTTGTTAAAAAGTCCCAGTTTGCCACGACTTTAAGTAATAAAATATGTTAAAAAAAGGTTTTAGTGCATTTTCGATCCATAAACAAAAAATTCACAAGGATGTACAGTTCTTAAGTGAGACACACTGTAAGGCTCTGAATGAAATATGTTGGTAACTGTGATGCATAAACAGGAGCAGAAGCTGGCCATAAAGATGTCTATGTCCATTCTGATTGGTACATTTAAAAATATAGTTTTGATACCTATTAATAAAATATTGATAACTATTCCTGTATGACAGAGAAAAGGAGAAAGGGACAACACAAATAAAAAGTAAGCCAATCAATCATGATGTAATTTTTTCCAAGACACCCACGTCTTTTTCGGAATTTCTTAAGTGGTAACAAGAAGTCCTCAAAAACATCAGCATTCATGTCTCTATAAAAGTCTCCAGTCCGTTTTGATTGAAATGGTGGTAAGTCACCATCGACAAATCCATTGTTGCTACCAATACGAGTAATTACCAATCTTTTACCAGTGGACCATCCTTCCATGGAAATTTGCTTGGCGGTTTTTAAATTTTTAACTCGCCACGTTTTACCAAAGGTATATCCTTCATTTACCCTGGTTTCTTTTAAATATTCTTGTTGCTCCTTCGAAACTGTCCGTTCTTAAAAATCTTGGTCAGAAGCAGATAATTTGGTTTTTGTCTATTAGAAGTGCTTTTCTGCTTTGAGTTTTTGCTTTACGAAAATTCAGTTCCTTCAAAATGAAATCATTCTTTACCATTATTTTGTCCAACGTAGTCTTTTTTTTAAAAATAAGACGAGTGTGTTACTATTCTGGTGGCAGTATTTTCATCCAGATTCTTTACTTCCTGAACTTCTCCTTGGTGACCTGATGGAGGCGCCTGTATCCTCGTGCACAAATCGGCATATTATTGACTGTCCCACTCCACTAGAAGACATTTCAATTATTTTTACAACTTTGAACACATTGAGAATAATAATTTTCTCTTATTTAGAAAGCGCAGTATTTCTAATCCGTTTATCAGCAACAAATTCAACAGTTTTCAAGAACTAACTGTCGAAAAGTGACTATAATTGTAATTTTAAACACTAAGGTCGACTACCCGTTCGTCTACCTCGCACTCTCGGGACCCTTGACAATCATCATAGGTACAATACTACAATACAATACTACGCCAGAGCATGGTTATTACAACATTGGGTGCAAGTTGGTGCGAATCGCTATACAAGTCCGTATAGATGTTCTTCCCCGCAGTGTCCAAATGGTTTATATATATCCGTCCCGTCCCCAATTTTCAACTTTTCCCCTAGTGAATTTTCTTCCAAGTGGCTTGAGGTCGATTTCTTCTATATCGTCTCTCCAGCTTCTCTTTCTTCTTTCCGGTGGTACCCACTCTGATACTTTACATGTCCAAACCAAGTCAATTCTCTTCGTTCTATTTCTTCTGCTATTGGTAGGTCGATATTCATTTCTGTCTGAATCGTTATCTGATGCTGTGCAATCTTGACCTTCTATAGCTTCTCTTTAGAAAATCCATCTCCTTTGCCATTAATTTCTTCTTACTATTTACAAAACTCCTGGATTCCTCCTGCGTCGGTTTTTGTTGAGTCGAATTTGCTAACGTTTCGCCAATCATCCTGTTGGCTTCTTCAGAACTTAACTGAAACTGGCTAGTATTTTACTATTTACCTGGTTATATATTGTTTGAGGGAGGAGGAGCTAAATGAGGGGAATAAACATCGTCTCGGATGACTGATTCCCATACTAGTGACAGGTAAAGACCTGAGTCGTGGTTAAAATTATTAGGTTGCTTATAGATTTCTACAGACTCTCGGATTTTTAGTTGGCAGAAGAATTGATTACATGCAAGAATTTTAGTTTTATCGAATACAATTTTATGTCCGGTTTCGTGAGTGTGTTCGGCAATAGCTGATGAGTTTATCTGTCTTAATCGTAAGGCTCTTTCGTGTTCTTTGAGCCTAGTTGATATTTTTCATCCGGTCTCTCCATCTCTGCCACATATGCATGGAATGATGTAAATTCCTGGCATCTCAAATGGAATTTTGTCTTTGACGGACCGCAGAGATTTTTGGACAAGTGGTAAATCTGGTTTTGACGTTATACTTCTTTAAAACTTTTGATATGTAGTCAATGATGTTTTGAATGTAAGGAAGGACCACAATGGCAAGTGTAGGATGGCTTTCGGCCTCATCGCTATTGGGAGATTGCGGTGAAGTGTAGTTTTTGATGAAACGCTTAATATCTTTGATGTGGAAATTATTGGAGAGAAGAGTAGAGGTAAGGTGTTTTAATTCTGTTTTCAGTGACTCGGGCTGAGATAGTTTTACGGGTCTGTAAACATGAGAGTTGATAACCGATGATTTTTGGACCGGATGATGATGTGACCATGCATTAAGGTCTCCGGTCTATGTGCATAGGTTTTCTGTAGACACAATGGCCCAATGTTAGGTCTGATTTTCTGTTGATAAGAATATCTAAGAATGGGAGGTTATTACTAGTTTCTAATTCAATGGTAAAACGTATGTTAGGGTGTATAGAGTTTAAATGTCGAAGAAAATCAACTAGGGATTCTTGACCATCAGGCCAAATAACAAAAGTGTCATCGAAGTAGCGTTTCCATAATTTTAGTTTTGGATAGAAGGTGTCGAGAGCTTTTATTTTTAAATCTTCCATAATGGTGATGACTGGTGAACCCATAGACGTTTTTTCAAAAATTTGAACGTTATAAGAAAAATAGTTCTCTTTAGATTCTAGTAAAAAGGGGTTCTATGCCGAACGTGTGTATCTATGTGTATCTAATGTAATGCTTTTTAATTGTTCAATGAAGTAAAAGGAATTAGATACGAAACTATCAGTTTTCTCTGTAAAGGGGTTTGCTAAAGAAGCTATATATTGTGCTAAAGAATATATTGGAGAACCGGTGGTGCTAACGATAGGTCGAAGGGATAATCCTGGTTTGTGAATCTTAGGGAGTCCGTAAAGACGAGGAATTTTAGAGTCATGAGGGGTGACAGACTTTGTCACGGAGTCTGATAGAGAAGAAGCCTTAATAATAGATTTTAGATTGCGTTCCGTAGATGACGTAGGATCTTTTTTAAGTTGGCAATATGATTGGTCTGTAAGAGTATCTTGGATCTTTTCCTGATGTTCATTTGTAAGGATTACGATGTCGGGATTAGATTTTAGAGATTTTAGGGCAACGCGTTCAGCTTTTGGAATATTAGATTTAGGAGGTTTTGATTTTTCAAGGATTTTGCTGCTTGAGATGGCAGTTTTTTTAGGATAGACGCAACATTTGAAATGATTTCCTCTTTTGGGATAATATGTGGGGCAGGAGCGAAGTTGGAACCTTTTGCAAGAACTGATTTTTCCGTGCTCGAAAGTTGGTGCGATGATACATTTATCACAGTGTTTGGTAGTTGAGAACAGTTTGATGGTTGCACTAGTGTTGCCGTTAGTTTTTCAAATTTATGAATGTGATTTTGGGTAGAAGATAAACGTAGATTTAAAGCTTTGTCATAAATCATGTTCGAAAGGGTATCGAAGTCGGACGAGGACAAAATTGAAGCAATTTCAAGATGTATTGATTTGGTCTATTTCCTTAAATTCTTTCTCGAAATCAAGCAAAACTAGATTTTCGTAGAATTTTATAAGCGGATGAGGTTTTGACATGATGGGATATTTCAAGAAAATTGAGGCTAAGGTTAAAATCTCTATAACGTAACAAAAAGGTCAGTATACAGTGAGTGTAAAGTAAAGTTAAGATCTGAAGAAGCCAACATAATGATTGGCTAAACGTTAGCAAGCTCGACTCAACAATAACGAACGCAGGAGATATCCAGAAGTTTTGTAAATAGTATTACAGTAGTCTAAAGAAGTCTTTTTGAAAAATTAATTTCTCCCTGTTTACCTTAGACACGTCCCAAACTTCTTATCCATACAAAGTAATGCTTTGTACCATTCTTTCATATATACGCTTTTTCGTCTTGTATTTTTGTGTAACAGTTCGTCCCTTGTTCATTCTTTCCGTTATTTCGGCTTTACTGCTTCCATGTGTGTAAAAAATCACTGCTAGATATTTACTCTTCTTCGCTACTCTTATTGTTTCATTTTGTAGATATGGTTAAACCCGCTGATTCGTGCTCTTCTAGTTTTATACTTTTCCATTAATTTATTTTATATTCACGGGGATCAATTCACACGCCCACGCTTCATAAAGACAATACCACCTCTGGGACTAGACTTTCTGTTTTTCCGACATCGTATTGATCACAGCCGCGAGTTTTCCGCAAATTTTCCCGTTTTAATGGGTCGTCTCGGGTTTATTTCTGAGTGCGTGGAATTCCTCGCGATGACATTGAAAAGCATTGTTGTTACGAAAAAAATCGAAAACGAATTGGATCGCTGCCAAACACACTGCGAAAATTTGATTATACAGAGAGCTGGACGCCGTTCAAATATGCGCGAGATTTTTCGGTTTTATGAATAAAACGACCGAAAATTGATGTTACTACGGTTGCAATAACGTCCGATGTGAATTTCCGCTATATATTGAGCATTCGCAACTATAGCTGATAAATTAATACTCGTTGCTAGTACTACTAGTTACTAGTTACATTGGGTCAAATAATGCAGCCGTCCTAGATTTTTTCATTATTATTACTTTGTTATTAATAATTTATATAAAGAACTATATCTTTTAAAATAATTTTCCTATGTATAACATATAAATACTGCATTATGTATTATATATCTTTTTACCATAATATACAAGGCGGCGCATAACTTATCCTCCGTAGAGCAACATGTGAGCTACTAATGTTAATCGCTAAAAAGATACAGGGTGTTGACATGCTATTGTACGATACATTTAAAAATTATTGTAATTTTTCGAAAAAAAATCTTTGCAATTCCAAAGCGATTTTGTAAAGTTTCGCCAAGGTTTATTACGACTGAACCGCAAATACGTATGTACATTTTATCACTTTACAGGGTGTTACAAAAAAGTAGGTCAATCTGTTAGCCATTCATTCCTTTGGTTCAAATAATGGGACCATCCTATTTCACTTACCATTCAAACGCTTTCTTTCTGTTGTACAAAGTTTTGTAACATTTGTAAAATGCATGTTTATTTTTCAATATTTTCATTTATCTTCGATAAAAATTGAGATATCATTTTGAAATTTGGTGACTATCACGCAGTTATCAAAAATCATGCAGAAGCAGTTTCTTCTTGATTTCTGAGAAGTATTCAAAGAAGTAATGAAAAAAATAACTTATAACTGTTTTTCCTTTTGTAAAAGTTTGATTTGTAGCCTGTATTCTTATCAATAGAAAATCAGACCTAACATTGGGTCATTGTGTTTACAGAAAACCTACCCACACAGACCGATACCTTAATACATGGTCACATCACCATCCGGCCCAAAAATCATCGGTTATCAACTCTCTTCTTTACAGAGCCGTAAAACTATCTCAGACCGAGTCACTGAAAACAGAATTAAAACACCTTACCTCTGCTCTTCTCTCTAATAATTTCCACATTAAATATATTAAGCGTTCCATCACAAAATACACTTCACCAGAACCTTTCAATAGCCACTTGCCACTGTGCTCCTTCCTTACGTTTAAAACATCACTGACCACATATCAAAAGTTCTAAAGAAGTATAACGTCAAAACCAGATTTACCACTTGTCCAAAAATCTCTCAACATCTGCGGTCCGTCAAAGACAACCTAACAATCTTAACCGCGACTCAGGTCTCTACCTGTCACCAATTTGGGAATCAGTCATCCGAGGCGGTGTTTATACCTCTCATTAGCGCCCCCCTCAAACAATATATAAGCAGGTATAGAGTAAAATAAGAGCCAGTTTCAGTCAAGCTCCGAAGAAGCCAACAGGATGATTGGCGAAACGTCAGCAATTTCTACTTAGCAAAAACCGACGCAGGAGGAATCCAGAAGTTTTGTAAAAAGTATATGAGTAAGAATAGCATTTCTGACCTACAGTCTTTTCTCTCCTTGTTGCCTTTGAGATCGCGTTGAATAGTAGTGATCGAATACCCTTTGTTCTTGCGTTTGTAAAAATAATTTACAATTTTGACAATGGGATGTGGTTGAACCAATGCATTATACAAAATTTTTAGGTGTTAAAAAATTCCTTAGCATTCTTCTCTTTTTTAATAAGTTTGTCAATGTTACATTTCCAACTCGAAGTCACATAATCTGAAAAAACAATGTCGATAAAATCATTCAGTTTAGTTTCGATTTGAAGTTTTGCTACAAAATTGAAAATATTTCCATTCCCGACACAAATAAAATTGTACCCAGTATTGTTCCTTGCGAGCCCCCATATTCAACTTTTCTACTTTTCTTTCACAACTAAGTAGACCCTCTTATATGATACATTGTGTTCGACCATTGAGATAATTTGACATTAATTTTAAGGCTATTATTGTCCTAAACCCTATACCCTTCAAACATCAATCAACTTGTTGTGATTTAAGCTATCAGAATAATTTAGGATTTCTATCTAACGATTTATAGATTTTTTATGTCAGTATAGCATCCTGGGTGAATTTACTGGTCTGAAACCGAAATCGATGGTGCTGTTTGATTTTATTAAAAAATTTTACGAAGTTTGTTTTGTCACTAGATACCATCTTTTTATATTTTTGTGGGAATATCCCATTATACACTTATTTAGAAAATGAGTTATAAGTTTGATAAAAAAATCTACTATCTTTTTGAGTGTTTCCGTCCATATGCCGTCAAGTTCAGGAGATTTAGTTTTTTTTTATATTTTTTATATTTTATTTCATTGGGCAGTTGTTGCTGGTGAAGTAATCATTGACTAGACCAGCAATATCTTCAATCATTTTTTGCTTTATTAATGAGTTTGTGCAGTTTGTTTTTATAGTCCTTTAATTCTATTCAAAACTAAATGTGGCTAATGGACTAAAATGCATTTTTGTAGCGCCCTGTATTTTTCCTGAAAATTTATTTTTCATATTGTTTCCCTAATACACACTAGATTACCGAATAATACTGATACTAGATATTGAAGGAGTTTGCAATCGTAAATCAAGATTTATTTGTTTCAGGATTGAAGGGGGCGAACTTTTCGAGAGGGTAATCGATGACGATTTCATCTTGACCGAAAAAGCGTGCACGATCTTCATGAGGCAGATATGCGAAGGAATCGATTTTATCCACAAACAGAGGATACTCCATTTGGACATGAAGGTCAGTTGTCTATTTAATAGGATTGTTACGTTTTTAAACTGACTAAAATCGTTTGGGTTCGTCAATGGTGACGGTTAAATTAAACAATTAACTCCGCCTCAAATTTAATGAACCTTAAAATGTAATTCGTTCAAAATAAAAAAGTCAATAGCTATTTACACACTACTAATAATTTATTTTATTATTTACGTACCATTTAAATATTATTTTTACTCTGGCACACCGCAGTTTCTATTTGGGATGATTTATGGGGATCAAATAAAGCATTGAAACTGTATAGGCTTGTTTTAAATCTTGAAAACTATGAAATACTATAGAGCGATCTTGATAATCAGTAGTAAAGTTAACAGTAATATTTCAGGAATTATTATTTATTCCAAAGTAATGTTTGACATGGATATTATTTTCTTTTGCTCAGATGCGGTTAAGTTATTATATTATATCGTTGAAAATGTACAGAGTTTACAAATATTAAGATTATTTGGTAGGCTGGTCAACAGTACATGGTTCAAAATAAACTACTAAAATTTACCTAAGTGGGGGAACCGTATAATTTAGGCGGACGGTGTTTTACCAAAGACAGATAACTATAACGTTGCTATTGACTCCATTTAATAACTTATGTGTCCAAAGTCTTCGAGAACAGAACTTTCAATAAAACAAGTGGACAGGTCCAGGTACAAAATAAATGCGCTAAAATAACGTGACCTCTTTGATTAAACCGTCGAGTAGTCTATATTACTTTTAAAAGTAATATGGTCACACTCGTGCAATACACATTTTTCTCTACATCGCAAAATTCCTTTTTCTACTCCCTTCTGTAAAATATCTAATTATACACCGGTAAACGGCATTTGACTCAGGAGTTTATTTGAAACGAGCCGAGCGAGTTTCTAATAAACGAGTTTGTTAAAAAGTTTACCAAACGTGTTGCATACTATACTTTTTCTACCACCCTTAGTTTTTGGGTACATTTTCGCAAAACAACACGAATACATTCACTGACATGACCGTCAGAACTGACAAACATCAAAATTCAAAGCGTGGGAAATATCTCTGAAAAATCCGATTGCTCTCAAATCCGTGCGGTAAAATCCCGGAAATGTCTGAAGTGGCCCGGATTCATGCGAAACGAAACTGACGTGGTAAAGTGACGCTTCCCGCACGTTACATCGGTGGGTAATTAGGTATTTTGCGAACGGGAGTTGAAAAAAATATTTTAAAACTTTTATATACACATACATATTTCATTGTCAAAGACATTTTGAAATTTGAATTGTGCATGTGGAAGTTAAAGAATGAACACAATCGCTGATGGTTTTTCTTTTCAGCCAGAAAATATATTATGTCTAACCAAGACTGGCAATAGGATTAAAATCATCGACTTTGGTTTGGCTAGAAAATTTGATCCGGACAAGAAGCTCCAGGTTTTGTTCGGCACGCCCGAGTTTGTGGCACCGGAAGTGGTCAATTTCGATGCAATAGGGTACGGTACGGACATGTGGTCGGTGGGCGTCATATGTTACGTTTTGTAAGTGCTTATTTACGAAAAAAAAACCTCCCAAAATTGAAAATAAACCATTTTTCATAGGTTGTCGGGTTTGTCCCCTTTTATGGGCGCCACTGACGTCGAAACTATGGCCAACGTGACCATAGCCAAGTACGATTTCGACGACGAGGCGTTTCAGGACATATCGGAAAACGCCAAGGACTTCATCAGAAAGCTTCTGGTCAAAGACCAAAAGTAAGTTCAGAATGAAATCCTTTTCTTTTCACCATTATTTGAAAAATGATTCAAGCAGCACAACGAGTGATTTATTTTTTTAAAAAAGGGGGACACAAGTTTGCAAAAAGACAGATTGTGATAAAATTTAAAATTTTATTTTTTTTTACAATGAAATATATATTAGTAACAAGATTTAAGGGGACAATATCAACATAAACCCAGAAATGTTTGGTCACAGGTTTTTGAAAAAACACAAAAAATCAGTAGCGTAGATATCTTTTTGCCCAATAGATGGATCACCCTCTTTCGGAACGTAGATGGCGAATTAATAATTTTAATTTAATTACCACTACTGCTATCGTAAATATGGATACCTATTAAATTTTCTATTAATTTTAAAGTTTTACACGCCCTGTATCTTGAAAACAAAGCATTCCCGAACATTTTATGTCCACATTTTTGCCCCAAAAATACTCAAAGAATCATCTCCAAAGTAGTCAAGTATTCAGAAAACGCACTTTATTAAATGTTCCCTAAAAGGTTTTTTTCCTAATTGTTATTGCCATGAGATTTTTTTACCATTGTACAGTGTGTACCATTTTTTAAGGTTTAAGTTTAGGGCTTAATAAAACTAGCTTTGGTTATGTGCTAACTTATCGAAAAGGTGGGTAGGATCGAGTGGCGTAGTTAGTTTTTTTTAATTTATAAATACGCCGTAAAACCATGAAAAATTAGACACACTGTACATTTAAAAATATTGTCCTTGTCAGGCACCAATCTGTCGACGTGTTTTAATACCTACAACTGAAATAAAATAATTATTTTGCTTATTCTATTTAAACGATTGGAAAACATAAGTCCTAGTAGGAAGCGCCTCTGGTCGTGAAAAGCTTTTAAGGCGTTAACGGTAAGAGAACATCGCTCAGAAGTTGCGCTCATTATTGCGTTAGCTTCAAAGAACACTCCCAAAACACAACTGTTTACTATAAAACTAATTAAAATTAATGATAATAGATGTCAGTGTCACAGTCACTTAAATACTTGTGGAGCATTAAATGTCGAACTGTCGTTAAAAATCTCCCGCTGTGTCTGTGTCTGAAACATTTTCCAAACATCGTGTGCGTTAATGAGAGAATCACACAACAAACTCATTCGACCAAAGCAAGGCAAAGACCCAAATTACCGAAGATACCATAGACCACACACTAACACGTTCCCCTTCTACTTCTATTTCTTACTAATTTGGGTTTGTCGCTTTGCTTTGGGCGCATGTTTTCCTCATCATTAACTTCGCACTAACTCGGGGTCTTTGTCTCCATCATCTAGCAAACGTATGAGTAGCGATGAGTGCCTCAGACACGCGTGGCTGGAAAAGCGGAAACCGCTGATTGCTCGAGTACCGTCCATGGACGTCACCAAGGATAACTTGAAGCAGTTCGTGGAACGATGGAACGAGCATCCGAATTCACCGTACGTTTTCGAGATCACGTGTTCTCTGACTCCCGGTTGCGAGAACGGCGAAGCCAGTCTGTCCGAGTCGTCTCATTCCCTAGCGGGAGATTCACCCTCCCCTTGCGGGAGCTTAGCGTCGTCCCCTGGCAGCGATAACTGTTTCGCCAATATCAAAAGCGACATTTTCTTGTCGCCTAATCATCTGACTACGGCAGACCCACTGAGACGCGCTTCGGACAGCTCGTGCTTCGTGAAGAATCAGAACGACATGGCGGAGCGCATCAATCTCGCTGACGAAATCAAAAAACTCTCTGATAAACTGTTCAAACTGTCTAACATCGACGCCACTCTCGCCACGAACGGCGTCGACCCGTTCGAAGAGACTAAAACCATCCCCATCAACATCACTAACAAACCGTTCGCGGAGCTCCCCAAAGACCATCCCCAGAACCCGAGCTGCGGCATACCTTGGAGACGGACCAAGTTCAAAATCAACGTGAACTCTAGCAGAGACGTGCCTCTTAGTTGCCGCAGTATTTACAAGAAGTCGGGCGAGAACGGAGAGACACCCAACAAAGATGCGGACGGCACCAAAGATCTCCTGCTGAGGTTACTGCAGCACTGGGACGGGCCCCGCGGACAAGTGAGCAGGTCCAGTAGCAGACACGGGTCCGTGTCCGCTGACTGGAACGAGGAAGACACCCTAGGACAGCGGACTATCAGTTCCTTGAATAGTTTTTTCCAATCTAGGGCGACCAACAAGAAGATCACTCAGTTTCATTTGAACAAGTCCTAATTATAAGTGTCGTGTCGTTCTAGACTTAATTGCGTTGACTGATATGTATGGTTGTGAGGTCGTGCGACGTTGCTAGCACGTGGTCGTTGTCTGTACTATATGTACCCAATCGATATCTCCTGGGACCATTCGCTGTCGGGACTGTCCATAGTATGTGTTCGATTGTACGTTTTTAATATACCGTCGTAAACTGTAGTTTCGTTTGTTTTATTGTCGTCATTTGCGCAAAGCTCCAACCTAATTTAGCTTGTTTAGTTTGTACTTACTCGCAATCGCTTTAAATATCTGCCTTTGAGGGAGGGGGTATTTTTGAGTTGCTTAAATTTGAATGCTTAGGTTCGAATTTGATGAATAAAGACCGCTTACCAAAATGATTGTTATACCGCTATTAATTAATTAAGTTAAACTTGTTAATTAATTAACAAGTTAATTTGGCAATTTAATAATAATAATAAACTGTGTTTATTTAAAATCAAAATATTAATAACAGCACTTTATTTCCAACAGGTAACATGACCCAATTACAGGAAATAGCTAAATATAAATCATCCAATATATATACTAGGGGACGTAGAAACTAATCTTAAATCTACTAATCTTATAACTAAAAAAATGAAGAAGGAAAGAATGCGAAAGAAGAGGATAAGACTTATCGGTACGCATAACCCGACGCCAATCGAAATATGTATATAGGGTTTTGAAAATGGATTTTGGACCTGGGTAGCTGCGGCTAGAAAGTTGATTGATGTCTCCCTTCCAGCCGCGGCACATGAAAACGTAATTGTTCCAAAAGAAACGTGCAATCCAGTGAACTAACTTATAGAGAAATGAAACAGATTGCAAGTCTCTGCGCAAGCTCAGGGAAGTATAGCGAACCTTCTTAGCAGAAGATCGTGATTAACTCCCCTCTCAGGATAGGAACCGTCCTCCCTGAACATTAGATACTTTAGTAACCTTCTCTGCACACTCTCAATGAACTGAGGGTAGGAGTTATAAATTGGTGACCATATCAGCGAGCCGTAGTCGCTTGGTCCCAACGTAACAGTTAAATAAAAATTTAACAGTAGCTGAGCTACAAAAATGCCTGCCGATTTCTTATTACGAATCCTAAAATTTGCATTGCACTGGAAACCATTTTTGTAATGTGAGGTACAAAAGAGAACGCGACTGGTCAAATAAAATCCCCAGATCCTTCACAGTGGCAAGTCTAGTCAGGATAGTACGATCCATATTGTAATTAAAGAGTATAGAAGTTTTTGTGCTGTGGTAAGAAACCACATTACACTTGCTGATGTTAAGATGCAATTTATTTTTAGTACACCACTGACTGACAATATTGATGTTGCCCTGGAGAGTCATGCAGTCCGTGCCAGTTTCATTGCATTCATATAGTTAGGTCATCCGCATAGGCAAGCTTGTTGCAGATGATCAAAGATATGAGATCGTCTATAAATATATTGAAAAGAAGAGGTCCAAGGTTAGAACCTTGAGGCACAAAATATTAAAATATAAGTAATAATGCAAGAGCGGCGACATTCGAATATTGCGCTTTTCCAAGAACAACAGCACCAGCACCATAATTGGCAACAAAATACACATCCGTATATAAATCGTAAATGCGAGACATCATAAATTCATACGCTTTTGCTAGGCGGGCCTAATAAACAATATTATTTGAAATACTATTGTGGGGAGGGTCGTTAGAGCACAAGGTACTTCATTAAATAATTTAACTGCGTTATGGCAAGAAGACCTCTGGAAAATTACCGAAGAGTGTCTAGGAACGCAATATCTTAAACAATAACGGGTGTCTCGATTATGAATATCATTTCCTCTGCAATGTTTATCAAACAAGTACGACGGGGTCTTATCAGCGTTTAGTAAAAAAGCAAAGGTGGCTAACTGAACTCCATAGCATTCTGAAGTCGTTGGAGTCTCTCCTTATCTAGATTAAGTATAGCTGGTCAATAGTCTATACTGCAATAAGCGATATGGGATAAAAATAACACATCACAGAGTTTAAGTTTGACTTCATTACTGAGAAATGTTTAAAAATATACAATATCCTCAACTTATAGAAGGCTTTTTGTAACACTGAGCCAATATGCTTAGAAAACCGCAAGTCACCGTCGAACCATAATCCTAAATTTTGACACCCGTCTGAAGGAGAGATAATTTCATCATTTAGCGTAATCTTAAAAGAGGAGTTTTTTACAATATCTTCCCTTTTTTTAGTATTATGAGTATTGTGAGCCGCAAATATCTCCGAAATTATTTTAGGATCTAAATTGATTTTAGTAGCGATATATAAAGCTTCATTAGCAACAAAAGATTAATATTACTGAGTATCATCGGCGTGTTGATGAGATTGACAAAATTTAAGGAAAGTAGAGAAGTCAGCTGTATAAATTCAGAACAGAATAGGTCCCAAAATACCCCCTGCGGAACACTCCTCTCCAAAGAAATAGCATCTGAATGAGTATTTCCAATAACTACCATTTGGTATCTCTTAGCAGCAAAATTTTTTAAAAATCTGAGAACTGAACTTTTTATCCCGAACAATTCAGTTTAGCTAGGAGAAGGAAATGATCCAAGGTGTTAAGACTATGAGATAAGAGTTTAATTTAGAATCTGCTGCTCTCAATAAATCATCAGTAATACGAAGCAAGGCAGAAGTAGTGGCGTGAGGAGGTTGAAAACCAGAGTGTTTGGGAGGATTTTGTTATCACATTGGAACTGGCGAAGTTGTTTAGCTGTCATTTTTTCAATAATTTCTGAGATAATTGGCAACAAACTGAATGGTCTAAAATCGGTAATGCCACTTGGAACCTTCAGCTTGCTTCTAAGAGTCTGGAAAAAAATAAAGGCGGATTAAACAGCAACAAAGCAACTTCGCATTTCTGAATGAAACAAATTTAATATCATACATTTAACTATTCTTTTTATTTTGCCTTAGTTTTAGTCAAATAATTTTCTGACCCACAAGATCTTAGTCAATCAAAGCAATCCCGAGGGATAATTTATATCGCGCATGCGTTAATATGTTTGCGTATCAACTGTCATTGTCATTGTAAAACTGACGGTACTGGAAACAGGAAAACCAATTCACAAGAGATAACCAATATAACACAACAAACAAATATAACTCCAGCCTTCAATGATATTTTTACACATAAACTTAGCCTAGAACGTACATTGGGTATTTGAAAAACATGAGTTCTGTGCCTTAATGCGTTTATATTTTTGAGCCTGAGAATGAGCAAACGGTACAAAGACCCTGTATATCGCAATAAATGAGCAGGTGTCTGATGTTAAATGTTTATAGACATTTTCTTAATTTTGCTTTAAAGCATTGCCTATTTATAATAAATTTGGCCGTAACCAGGAACTGAAGAAAATCAGAAAAAAATATCAAAAAAAAGCTTGAATTAATTATTTTTTAAGTAAATGTTGTTAAAATCGGACCTTGTAGGTAGAATATATTGTACACCAAAAAGAAATTGCCAATATCCCAAAAAATAGAGACCTACGATGTCTACGCCAATCGTTAAATAAAAAATAAATTATCTTTTAAAGAATTTAGCACCTAAGGTTGTAACTATTTTTGCCTAGTTTTTCGCATTCCAGAAATATAAATGAAAATCAATAAGTAGTTTAAAATTTCAACACTCTCTGTATCTTGAAAGATAAATATTGGTTTACATCAACCTTCCTCGTTAATTATAAAATGTTAGTCCGGCTTTATAATGACCAGAACCACATAACGAATATTATCGGTTTTATAGTAGCCCTATATGACAATTAACCCCCGAGACGCCTAATTGCTATGCTTTAACAGAACAAAGATCAATTTTAGTTTACAGAGGAGTCTAGAAGAAAAGACGTCTTTACCTGATTTTAAAATTGCAGATGACACGAAAATAGATATTTATCTGAAGTTTGAAATACCTGAATTTTATTTAGCAACACCAACCAACCACATTTTGGCTTTTATTTATACGAAGGCTGCATGCATATACGTTTATCAAGACCTTTATTCAGATATACTTGTATTTTAATCACGGGAATATTCTTTAGGGCTAGAATGACGTCGTTGGGGGCGCTGGATCATCCGTGGCTCAAAGCTTCGACCATCCATCACGAGAAGGCTTTGAACACATCCAAACTCAAGCGCTACGTCATCAAGCGCAGATGGATCAAGGCTGTTAACACGATAGTGGCTTTGCGGAGGATGGGCGCCAAAATTGATCGGGATTTGGTCCACAATGACGACGTCAAAACTTAACTTCAAACGCCCTGAGAAGCTTATGCGACAGAAAAACGCAAAATCGTAGTAATTTTTTTCTAGGGGAATATCAGTTTGAGAGTCAGAAAAACTTTACCGTAAAACTGTTCCTGGTAGAGTGGATGTTTGTACAATATTTGTACCCTATGTATTTATAAGTAGCAAAATCAGTTTTGAATACTGTGCGGGACCTTTTTTATTTGTAAATGATTGGAACATTTTTGTTGGCTCGAATCTGTTCCGAATGATGCACCAACAGTTGCTTTCAAAGAGTTGAGGAACCATTTAAATATGAAATTATATTCTTACAGAACTAAATTTTCTCAAAAATATTTACCACCTCTTAGAAAGCAACATTCATTTTTTTTTGTAACTATAATAAGCCCAGAAGTGAAGCATCCTGGTTAAATTAAAATTGAAATCATTTCTGGAATAAGATGTTAAATAATAATTAATTTTTAATGCCTAGGGAGAAGCTCACTACATATAAATTAAATTTCCAACAAAATAAGTAAAATAATATCTAGCAAAACCATTTTTCCTGCTGGAGAATTAATTGCGTCTTCCCTTTTGCAGAGTAATACCTATCAAATATTAAGCGATTCTAGGCAGGAAACTAGTGGATCAAAAAAATATTTCTTTTTATTCATTCAACATGTTGCTTCTCTAATAAAGTAAAATATATTAATGAAATAGGTCTTGACCCAGCATATACTGGCTGGCAACATTTAAAAATTATGCAATTTAACCACACATTTTTTTAATATATCGCTGGAACTATGGAACTGAAGCAATTCAGTTCCATAGTTACTTTTGTTCTAGATTTAATCATCTATTTAGCACATTGTAGAAAAAGCAGTTAGTTACTTACCCTAAGTAGGTATATTTAAAGTGATTAATATAGTCTAGTGTTAATACTCAAACTAAAAAAAATTGCATTGAAATAAAACAAGAAAATCTAGAAATAAATGTTGTTTATTTGTATTTTAACACAAATAAACACAAGTGAATCCTAAAAAATTTAACGGTACGATTTCTGGTAGCGGGCTCTCGCTCCTGGACCTCCAAACTTCTTTGGCTCGCACCTTCTTGGGTCGGCTACCAGCAAAGTCCTGTCATACTGAATCAAAATGTCTTTTAATTCTTTTTTAGATGCTTCGTCAATATCTGAAACAGTATGAATATTTGGTCACCGTTACGTTTTGATTTTTGACAAACACAATTACACCCAGAAAAAGTACTTACATTTCTGATAATAAGCCACCAGAGCTTTGGAAATTGCTTGGCGAATGGCATATATCTGAGAGACATGGCCACCGCCGTTGACACGAACTCTTATGTCAACTTCTGAGAACTTGTCCTAAAAAACAGAATTTATAGTTCACAGCAAAAAGAAAATGGTTCATACATCCCATAAAGGTGAACGGATCAGGTTGCATAAGCCATTCATTACGAATCATATTCGGGATAAAAAAACTCATCATAAACATACAAAAACTTACTAAAATCGAAAATTAAAACAGAATATACCTTGCCCAATAACAGGATTGGTTCCTGAAGTTTGTCTTGGAGCATTTTTGGCTCCACTTGGCTAAGGGGGCGTCCATTTACTCTGAGCACACCACGTCCTCTCTTGCAGTAGGCTACTGCAGTTGCAGATTTCTACAAACACAACAAACACCAAATTACTCAAACGGAATAGGCTACTCAAAGCTAAACACAATAAATCTAACTCATCAAATAGTATCTACATTTGGTGTCAACTTTAAATCACGTTGATTTGAGGTTAGGGCCTACATTTGGTGTCAACTTTAAATCACGTTGATTTGAGGTTAGGGCCTTAATCACTTACTTTTCTGCCGAAAACTTGTACAGCGGAAATTGGTTCTCTCTTGGGCTGAAAAAGAAAATATAACATTAGCAAAATACCGAATAACAGATGTAATAAAAAGTGCGAATAAACAATAATACCTTCTGCATTGTGTGTTCTTAAGACAAATCGCGGAAAAGGAAATGGAAGACTTTCGACAGAATATTTGACAGACCCATTTCCGACTATCAATTGAGGTACTGTGTTCATAATATTGATTAAAATTATTTCTTTTCTATATTTAAAATAATAAAATTTGAAATTCTTACTTTAAATTTGAAAAGAAAACGCTATTTATTTAATATAGTCAATACAGTAAAATATGTTTTTTTGCGTTCCGGGTAGTAAAACTTTTCTGATATTTTCAAATTTTGTTTTAACCTCAACTTTTTTAGCAATAAAGGTAATAATAAGCAATATTTAAGTACAAAAATGCGGTTTAGCCGTTAATTTAACCAAGTTATTAGACCTATACAAATACTCTCTAGAATCGCACGCTGTTTTGTGTGTTGCATACCTACTTGATCGCAAAGTAAATTTTATTCAATAGGGATTTAATTAAAACAATTAACACTCGACGTTGAAATGGTACATTTCATTGCTACGCTACTCACGAAATTTTTTGTCTAATAATTTTTTCCCTCTTGAACTATGCATTAGGTAAATATTTTTAATTACTAAACGGCATATGAACTACTTATTTCCCACGACGTACCCCCCGTAGTCCAAATCCAAATCAACAATTCAAAGATTTCTTCTACCCTAAGCACACCTTTACAAATGGGGTGGCCAAACAATACCGCGACAATCTCAGCCAATGAAAATCGTGGAATTCATGGTCCCCCTCCGAATAAAATATCGGACTGGCATGGGAACAACTCGCGAGGTTTCAAACAAGCCCGCGATTTATTTAGTCATCCGCTGATGGTGTAAATAAATAAAATGTTACGGTGATGCGAAAAATCGTGCCGACCTTTTTATCTGAGTACTTAATTAACGCAAGAAACTATTCAACTAAATTGTGTTTGTGGTGAAGATATCGATAAACATTTAATTTGGAAAAACCGGGGTAAATAATAGGGGCGGTTAGAAAATTTGGGATTGTTTTTGGGTTGTAGGTTGGTTTTGGGCATTTGAATTTTTATTTAAATTTTGGCGCCAAGAACATGCTTGTTATCTGGTAATTGTTTTATTTATTTAGTTATATGAGGATAATTGCACATCTGGCAAAAAAAGTTATATTAGAGAACTACACGAAGCTCGTGGAAATTAGAAGGAAATATAATAATAATATATAATATGCAAGGTAGAATTTTTATATAATTTCCGCAATCATCAGAAGAAAATGCTGAGCGGGGTAGAGACAATCCCGTGGGAAATTGGATCGTAATATTATGCGACCATTAACTTAGCTGCTGCGTTTGGAGTTTCCTTGAAATGTGCGGCAATTTGCTGATTAATTTTTTAATATATGGGAGATAAGTATACTTTACGATAATTAAACATTACTGTTTTAAAAAAAAAATGTATGTAATTTAAAATGCTAAAACGTTATAGCCTTAATTGATATTGATAATGGACACAATATAAAAATTCCAAGCTACGGAGATATTAAATGGGCAATAATGAAAATAATTTGTTACAAATGCCCCTGTTTCATCAACATTTATAAATCTCTAGAAAATTTGACAGAATCACGTTTAAAAGCGCACATTTTGCATTAGATTGAAATATCAATAATATCGAAAACAGTTTTTTAGTTGTTCTGAGCAATGTGTACAAGAAAAGCCTAGTAATAGTAGCAAAAAAACGTTTAATTAAATTTGGCCAAATCTTAATATTTTTACATGAGAAAGCTGTAGGTTTACTAGCTGCGACACAATTTTTAATCATTTTTTCGCTTTAAGCTTTCAAAAAATATAAAAATTAGAAATAAATGTCTATTGCTAGTTTTATCAAAACAATAGGCAGTTAAGTTCGTGATGTTTAAAAAAGCTTTTTAAATAATGATAGCGAATAGCTCATTATCATTATCATTCATTTCATTAATTTTTCAGCATCATTAACAATATTGAAAAAAGTACTTTTGGTTAGTTTAAATTAGTTTAAAGAAAGCAAAAAACAAATCTTAAACAAGTTTTATTTATTATGTTATTTTTATTCTGAATCCTAGATGAATGCTCACATAGAAAAACAAGATAATTGTCATTTTTTCTGTTATCTCAATATACTCAGATTATGAAAGAATATGGCCACAGTCCTTGTAGATAATAAAGATATATCTGCCAACCTATCTCTAAATGTAAATAACTAGGGAACAACTAAATTTTAGAGACGGATTAGGGGACTTCTAACCTTAAGTTTGTTGTACTGCCCGTATTTTTGACTTTCCCTTCGAATAGTTTCTTAATATTGCCCATATTTTTTTCCATAATTCCCGCCGGAAATAATTTTAAATAATGTCTTTGATTGGGTATCTAAAATGGGGCACTTGAATTTATCAACTAGAGTGACTTAGGTACGTCTAACAAACAAAAAACTCCTCTCACTTAAATTTAAAAATTAGTTGAATTGCAAAATTATTTTGTGAGCTGCCACGACATAGTTTTTTTATTTGCAATTACAATTACAATTTATTTTATCATTATTATTGCAATATTTCAATACTACGATTAGAATGACTGTTTGACCTAGACTCCTAGATTTAAAAAAACCTGTATATGTTAAAACCCCACATTAACTAATTTATCAAATTACAAACCTATAATATTTCAGTCCTAATTAAAATCAGAAAAGTTTTAACGAAACAATTAAGATCAAGCATACCAGCCAATCCTGAAAGAGATTTTAAGAATATAGTTTGGTCTATCTATATATATATATATATATATATATATATATATATATATATATATATATATATATATATATATATATATATATATATATATATATATATATATATATATATATATATATATATATATATATATATATATTCTCACGTATTGATTCACGGATGGAAAAATGTGATGACACTATATTCCGGGATATCATCCGTTCGCTCGTTGAACTTCGACTGGAATCCTGCATCCGACTGGAATCCTGCAGACGTTTCGCCAAAATCTCACTTGGCATCTTCAATGCTCGCTCCGGTGTTCGAAGTGTTTTCGGAGCGCGAGCATTGAAGATGCCAAGTGAGATTTTGGCGAAACGTCTGCAGGATTCCAGTCGGATGCAGGATTCCATCGTGTTGGCTTTCCACGGAATATCGGTATTAAAAATGTTATTCTTACTTGAGTGACAAGGCAGGGGTGGACCAGGAGTATTTCTGATCTTTCTGATATATTTCTGGAGTGTTGACCATTTGTGGCAGTGGTGATTAATCGTTTTTACTGTTCGCTTTGAAAAAGTTATTTTATGGGAATATAACAATGTCGCGTCGAAATCATTTGTCGCTTGATGCAAAACAAGTTGTGAAACATGTGTATGAAACTTTAATCAGTAGAGAACAAGAAGCTTTAAAAGAATCCTGTCTACTTACAAAAACGCCAATATCGCAGAAAGGGGATATTATTAATTGAAGAAAAGCAATCAACATAATGATTTTCAAACTCACCATATAGTCTGGACCTAATAAGGAGGAAAACATATTGTCTTTATGAAGGAGAAGTTGTTCCTACAATACAAATAAAAGCCGCGTCACGCTCCATAGAGTTGTTTGTAAAATGGGATTTAAGTACAGCAAAATAGACAAAAGGCAAGTAATAATGGAATCACACAGATTACGCACTTGGAGATTTAACTACCTTCAAGAAATTAAAAGATATAGATTAGACAACAGTTGTTGATTCCACTCAAAATTGTCAGACGAAAATATCTTCAAATAAGAAGACAGATTTTTTTCAAACTGCTTGCTGTTGTGTGCAATGGATATTAGAGATTCTAGGATACAAGAGCCGAACTTCTTGAAAATTGGTTTAAAAAAAAATCTTTTAAAAAATATTCCCTATAAGGGTGTTACAATCTCCAGAAAAACCAAAAACCGATCCAGATTCGACTTAACTATATCTGAAATACATTAAAAAATTTTAAGTTCTTACTTTTTACAAAACTTCTGGATTCCTCCTGCGTCGGTTTTTGCCGAGTCGAAATTGCTGACGTCTCAGTTTCAGTCAAGCTCTGAAGAAGCCAACAGGATGATTGGCGAAACGTCAGCAATTTCGACTCAGCAAAAACCGACGCAGGAGGAATCCAGAAGTTTTGTAAAAAGTTTCTCAGTAGGCTGTGGAAGTTTCTTTGAAAAATCTTTAAATTCTTAACTAGGAATTTCATAATTAAAAATAAAAATGAAAAAAAAGTTTGGGGTATATTTGTTTACTAATGCATGTAGTGACTAAAAAGATATTGTTTTTCCACACATCAATATTTGTGAGGTCATTTCCGAACGTACGATCAATTTTTTTCTGCGCCGTGGAGGAACTCGTCGCAATTACCACACTAAATGGAAAATAATAAATCACCCTGCAAAATACCTAACAATAGACTCAGCAGCGGATTAAAGTTCCGCCAGACGTATTATTCACGATTTCTTTCTTGTTGAATTCCACGCAAGGTGACTGATTTAATTACTATTAATCACCGACCTTCGTCATCTCGTCGGCATCTCGCGCAGAAACCGAAAGCGAATTCGGAAAAATCTTTTTCCTGGTCGGATCGTCCGATGTCGTAAATAATCGACACCTACTAACGGACACGTTCTTCTTAACTGTACCATCTTGTTTTCCTGCCAGGTTCGCTCTTGAAAAAATAGAGATCGTGACTTAATAACTTCGATGGATCTTTGTGTATTCGCTTCGAGGAATTGACCGAGATGAATAGACGTAATGCCTCTCTTTTGTTGCGCGCGGTTTTGTTTTCTTTACTTCGACAACAAAATTATGCGATCACACATGGAATGCTGGGTATGAGCAGTGAGTTCGATATATCGAATATGATTTTTTTTATATGGACTGAGTGAGAGTGACGGGGCTTGTCTTCTTTGTGATACACGTTAATACTAATACGAACACTAACAACTAATTGTTCGGACGATGTACGAAATAATAACAAAACATATTTATACTTATTTTAAATTGATTTTTTTTGCCATTTCGATTGAAAAATGAAATCGCGCACTTATTTTTATACCAAAAAGTGCTATCGTAATAAATTATTTTTTTATTTCACATAAATTACATAACAAAATATCAAAAACATACCGAATTTGCTGGTAAATAAATATTCGGGCGCATTTAAATCTTTTACTTTAAATCGAACATTAATAAGAAGTAACATAACCTTTCGCAGCCATAACAGCTTCTATGCGTTTTGGCGTGGAATCTACCAAAATCTTGCAATATTCGGGGGTGGAAGTGTTCCAAATTTCGGTGATTTTTGCCTTTAATGCTGGAACTGTACGCCGAGGATTGTTACGCAAAGTCTTTTTCATCCGATACCATAAAGTTTCAATAATATTCTAGTCGGGGCTTTTTGAGGGCCACGATAAAACTTTCATATTATGGTCCCCAAACCATTTTTTTGTTATTTTCGCATTATGGCAGGACGCACCGTCTTGTTGAAATATAAAATTTTCATTTCCAAAAGTTCGTTCTATTGATGGAATCATACTTCTTGATAAAATTTGTTGGTATTTTTCTGCATTTACAGTACCATCAATGAACTCGTAGTTGCCAACCGCTTTACCACTCATACACCCCCATATCATAACACCCTGGGGAAATTCCACCGAGGGCTTTAGACAATCTTTGTGAAAGGCTTCTGATTTTGTATGAATCACCCTTTTTCGAAAATCACCTACACACACATCAAATTTTGATTCGTCGCTAAAGATAACGTTACTCCACGTTTCCGTTGTCCAGGATATTTTAGATTTTGCCCAATCCAAACGTGTTTTCTTTTGAATAGACATTAATAATGGTTTTTCCTTTGCTTTTAAAAAAAGTAGATCATAGAATATTAATAATTTTTGTATTGAAACAGGAAAAATGGTAAACTTGCCTTATAAAA